AGTGGACACATTACTAAGTTTCATTATATTGTTATATACCTGTTACATATATACTGTACATTGTGGTTTTACTTTGCACTGTTTCTTAAAATACATCTGTTAAAAATAACAAAACCAAAAAAAAAAAAAAAAAAGCCTGACACTTGAAGAAACTTAACAAGGACTTTCCTGTGCAGAGTTAAAGTTGGCACCCACCCTCTGTAGGATGAACATGGCACCACTGACAAAGCTTTGAATAGCACACAAAAGCAATCATTTCAATCAGGTATGTAATCAATAAGTCAGTGTATGAGTGTGTGGGGCTTGATTCACTGTAGAAACCTGCCTGATGAGTGCGCAATGGACCCCAAATCCCTTCTTATACTCCTGCTTAAAACCTGTACTCTAAATTAATTTGAACGTGTGAAACATGCAGCACTACTCACCCAAAACCAGACTCAGAGCATAGCCAAAAGGAGCCTGAGCCCAGACTAAGCCATATTCTGGCATATACACATACTCAGCTGTGCCATTGATGTACCCTCCTCCAACCCAGGTCGCTGAAAATCACAAAAATAAAAAATAAAAAAAAATCCACAGTTAAAGAAAATCTAGCTAAAGGTTAAAATCAGATTGATAGACTGTATAACTAAAAAAAAACTGTTTATTTAAATAGCTTATTAAGCTCAATATGTTGACTTCCCTGTGGTAATGATGAGCTTACACAATTTGCTGACAGTGCAGACCAATTTAAAATCAAGGATAATGTCTTAAAGTTGGTGATGGAGGCACATATAAAAAAAAAACATACTGAAAACAATTCATAGTAAAATTGTCCCATATAACAGCTGATTTTTTTAAAAGTATAAAACATGGAACTGTCTTGGAAACAAAAGAATCAGTTAGTATTTCGAAGCAGTCTTAACAATATCAAGGCTAAACTTCACCTGTCATGGTGAATCCACCGACAAATAAACCAATGTCTCTCCCTCCGACCATGATGATTTCGCTGCGGTCGGTGCCCTCCGCCTCCCCGGAGTGCTTGTTCTTCCATGCCGCCCAGATGCCCACGAACAGGATTAGTAAGTAGAAGACCGCAATAGCCACAAGCCCCTCTACGTGGATGGCCATTGTCGCAACGGGCTTCCGCTAGGAACAGGCAGGCATGGACACCTGCTTAGCGCAGGGAGAAGTACAGCAACAGTCAGTCAGCATTATATTTCTGGAGACCTGGACTGGTAACTGATAACGTGCCACTTTTTTGGTTTGTTTCAAATCCACACATACTTGTGATTTAACGAGGTTTGTTTGAATTAGAGGTTTAACTGACCAAACACCAGTAGTTGAAATGGAATTATAATATGAATACCATGTAAAATAATTTTATCTGCCAACTGTATGGAATTTGTGCGCTCTTGTGGCCCCGAAAACCGTAGGCTATTCTCTAAAAATCAGGCATTCAACTAAGTACAATTAAGCAATTGTGGTTATCATCATCATCATCATCATCATCATAGCCTATAAATGTATTTAACAGAAACTTGGAAGCTCGATTGGAAGCCCATCACTCCTTCAGGCAACAACAAACCGCAAGAGCCATACATATAAATTAATTTACACGAGTTAAAATAAAATGACCTAATTAAACTAAAATAAATATGTGAGAATTGGGTGAAAACTAATTAGTTAGTCTTTTGTCAGGACAGCGTTTTGAACATCAAACATTTCCATTCTTTTCTATCGCTCCTATCTTGTTCTTCTACCTGGACACGAGCGTAAAATTCAGATTACGCACAGCATTCATGATAATTTAACCATGCTAAACCACAGACTACTTTATCCAAATTAGTTTGCAGCTCAATAATTGTAAAGTGCAATTTGGTCACAGTATATTGCCATCTAAAATACCACCTGATCACATATGTAAACAATTTACAAAATCTTAAAAAAAAAAAACACCTCTAAAACTTACCGCAAGTATTTCCAGGGGCATGTGCTGGGGCACCTGACACGGGAGGCGGTGAGGAGAACAGTTACAGGAGTAATGTGAGGTCTCGTCCTCCTGGAAGAACAGTGATGAAGTGTTGGTGGAGGTCTCCCGCGTGATTTAGTGAAGCTTATGAGAGGGGCAGGTACCGTCAGACGACCGGGACACGCGTCAGAGAAACCAAACGTCCCTCTTAATGAGGACCTTGCGTGGAAACACGTCACTGTGCAGGCTGATCTGACGAGAGGAGGGTTGGAGAGATTCCTTATAACCGGATGCAGAGGAATCTTACTCTGTCAGACCACTGAATTACTGAAGGGCATGTCATGAATTTTAATTTCAACGGTGCATTTTTACTCATTAAATAATCAGTAATTTCTGGAAAGATTTATGCGTCAGTGCGGTTGATGTTACTTGAAACTCTGTGCGTAATAGCCACCACAATTGCGCAGCCATACTTCATGTGGCCTATTATCCGCTGTCACTCTCTGCCCAGCCACAGAAACAGTTTTAAGTGATTCAGGGCGATGGATGAGAAACCGCCCCGCGGCACATGATAACACAGTGGAGGGATACGTTTGTTAAAAATAATCTAAATAAATACTCATCCATTTTAAATTAAATCGGCATCACTTAGGCTGGTCAAACACCTTCTTGATCAGAAACTGTCTACTCTTTAGCCTATTTCTTTTTGGGGACTAAAATGACACTAAAATGCTCTTCGCCTTTGAGCAATTAGAAATCACTTAAGTGTACCGTGTCTGTCACTTTCTGTTCAGGATATATATCAGTGAAATGTTTCTCCTTAATGGCCTCCTCTGCCTGAAGTCGTTTAATCTGGGCTGCTCTTGTCAAACCAGGCATCCAATTAGGATGGATCTTGAAGAGCAGAAAGAGATTTAAATGATACAGAAAACACCGACACACACATATAAACTCACCATATAAAACCAAACGGACAGACACGCGCACACTAAGCTAAATAGGGCGGAGGTATTCACTCGGGGGAAACATTGACGAATTTATTTCAACCACTACAGCAACAGAACCGTTTCACGCACAAAGGACAGTGAATATATTTGTCAGTTGGTTTTTATGGATAGAAAGTATCTGAACTGATGCTACATCATGATGTGTGAATTTGTATGGCCCTTATTCTAATGTATTGGTTACCATATTCATACTTTGAAAGGTGATTTCCCTATTGGTCATTGTGTGACGCTATAAATGTCATTTTAGTCTAAAGACTATCACATGTAACGAGTCTGTTTTTACTGTTTACACCCCCATTAAACCTCAGTGATGTTAAAACTGGACATTTCTGACTAATAAAAGGTTTTAAGTGTAACCTTTCTCTTCACTCCACTAGGAGGAGCTAAAGAATTTAGGAATAATGGTGAAAACATTATTCAGTTCTGCTTGAAAGGCTCAACTGAATATTATTTAGTAAGAGCTCCAATTTACCAAACCGTAGATTACAAATAAATACATATAAAAATAAAATTATGAGCATGAGATGAATCACTGAGTAACTGGAATAACACTGACTTGAATGCAAATTTGTTTGACATCTGATCAGTGATTCTGTCGCACCGATGCTAACATCCGAAACACCCTGAAAACAGCTGGAAAAGTTTCCAACTCTGTGTCTGACAGATGGTTGGCACATGACCTCGACACTTTTTCAAGCCAAACCCCATGTGGTTGCTGCTTAATGATATACACATTCCCTGATCATGTCCCTGTATCAACATATAAACAGAAACAATGTACAATTTACAGAACTGCACAAGACGTTTGCATGGCATAACACATATCCTCATAAATAGCAGAAATGAAGGTTTATAATTAAGCAAAAAAAAAAAAATGTGTTCAGGGTCAAAGGACTCGAGATTTAATGAGCAGCTGTCGCTGGCAGCACTCAAGATGTTTGGAGCAGGAGAGAGTGCACTAAAGGGAGTGAGAAACAGAATGACAGATGTAGATAACATGAAATATCTCAAAAGATAAAACATTATTTGTATCTAGCTGCATTTGTTCTTTGACAACACATTCTGTTCAGCGTCATCACATACAGCTTATCTAACAACAGTGTAAAAGAAGAAACTACAATTTCTCTGGAGCTAAAATGAACATGTGCTCAGAGGGTCCTTGTTTTGTCTGAAGGACACGAAACAGTCTCACAAGGACCTTCCCCTTGTTTTGGAAATATGAAAATGTCTGGAGGTTATGAACCTTGGCCGAGAGCCTCCCAGTAATTCACCACCCTGTCTTATAGTTAGAAATAAATATAATGACGCCAAATCACTGTGGTGCCAAGTCACAATGAGTATAGGACTGGGTGTCCCCCAGTGGTAGTACAAAAAAGACAGCGCCTCCAGGGATATTAATATGAATGGGCTTAAAGTAACAGAGCAGTTTATTCTGGAAATGTCTCCTTGCATACAAAACATTACAGTACAGTGATATACACCTTTCAGAACGTAAACTAATTCAACACAATGATAACAAGAAAAGCCAAATCTTCAGCTTGTGTTTGTCTTTAAGCTAAAATAAGATCAAGTACTTGATCACTTACATTTTTAAGCTTGTTCCACATGAAATGTTTCTATTAGGTTTTCTCTGGTTGGTGAATCTGTTGAAATGATCTGACTAACCGTGAATTGGCTCTTCACTCATTCACACAGGGGAAAAAAAGTATCAAGTATTTGTCCTGTCCACTTCCATACACTCTGGTAAAACATTGAGTTACTATTTTAAATCATGAACAAAATCCTTTTCAAAATAAGAAATAATAATCAAGATGACAGACATCTTAGATAGAACAGGATATTAGTAATCAGATGTTTGGTCTAGATTCAGTGCAACTGGGGGAAGTAAAGATTTTGGTGTGTTACAAGTATTTTTATTTGACACAATATTTATAACCAACTTATTACATAGCATATAAAACTAACCACTAGGACTGTAAAGCTTTTATCAGAAATATTTGTCAGTTATTTCATTTTGCCTTGAAACTACTCAAAAACACCTCTTCTTTGCTACAAAGCTTGGTTGAGACGATGGAATCTGACAAACATCGGACATAAAATAAATAACCACACAGACTGATCTATACAGTTTTAATGCAAGCTTTCAGTCAGAGACTAAACAAGCTGAAGGGCTTGCATTATAAACCTTGTGCAGATTGAGCAAATGTTTAGCTGTCTACCTTTTCATCACTGAAGTACCACGAGTAAATTGTAAGAAGCATTTTGTTTGAATACATTTTTGGAGCAACGATACAAGGCAAATACAAAAGCACTATTGTACCTAAATGAAAGGTATTAACTCTAACACTAGATAGTAACTTTGTAAAGTGACATTCTGACTTTTAAACAAACTTTACCGGCTAACTAACATGACATTCATTTATGACAATCACAGCTAAGTTAACAATTATTTAAATACACATTCAGCTTTAAATAACAATATATACAGCTAATTCTACAAGGTCTTAGAAAACAATTATTTCATTGCAATTATTATCTTCAATATGCTAAATATATTTTCACAGCTACTCAAAAAAGAGCAACATTAATTGAACAGGAGCAGAGCTGCAGTACGTACTGTGTTAGCTGTAGAAAAGATAGATTAACTACTATTTTTACTGTGACAAAGAGATGGTCCCTACATGTATATGAAAGTTTTGGTATTAGGCTGGATTCACACCGACACTTGTCTTACATTAAAACAATGCAGGGGGAGGCATTTCATGTAGTGGTGAGACAATGAAATACAAGCTGGGAAGTCCAGCTCTCGGTACAGATTTATGTTGTTAGAGCTTATAAGACACCAGAGCACAGCACAGTGGTTTGTAGTACTCACAAACTCTACAAAGTTATCACTGTGACAACTCTTTTATATTTGGCCTCAGAGTCATGTGCAGAGCCAAGGGGTTGCCAGTGGTGACACCAGCCACCCCCGAAATCTGATTGGCTAGCATTGTTCTGGTGCTTTATAATTGATGTCGGTAAAATTACTAATATTATATCATGCATGCAGCATATTTGCATTCATTTCTCCAGTTGTGTTGTTGTGGAGTACCTGGCATGAGTAATCCAACAGGAATACACACTTGCATGTACCATGACTGGACAACACAGCACCTTGCCAGATGATGTCACGGTGTGCTGCATAAAAAGTTGAACAGGAACAAACTTGCCGAATGTGTCCCTCTTCATGCCCTCATGTTCTCATTGTTTTGATTTGATCTGGAAAAACAGGAGAAATTCAGTTCATCAGCCCAATACAAAACAGGTTATATAATAACTAAAAATCAGCCCATTTTTGATGGACTATTGTCACTCATAATGGAAGAAATCAACATAATGTGCATGCAAATGCTAAGACTCAATAGTGACTACTATTGTTGTCATCTGCAACAGAGCTTTTCACAACCACCTTTCAAGCCTTGAAATTTAAGCATTTGATGATCAAGGGATAGACTTCAGGTGGTATTTGTTATGGAACATCACCACTAGCCTTATTAGGGCACATCTGATTTAGCAGACGCTATGCCAGGTCAAAGCACTGCATGTGATAAAGCCAAAGAAACAAAATTAAGGATATGGGAAGTATTTGAAGAGTTTTACACAAAGTGTTAGCTGAGATTAACCCAGCAGCTCACTCACAATAACAGTAAGCATGGTAAGGCAAAGATAAGGAAGTTTTTAATGTATGTCTCTACAGGTACACAGAAACACAATTTACAGTACAACAACAAAATGCCCCGTACTCACTGCATAATTTGATCTATGGAAGGATTGGAATTTGAGCGCGGTAAACACAATAAAAAGAAAAGAAAGCAATCCTAACATAGTGTAACAGACTATAAACAGTTATGCACAGTACATCCCGCACTCATACACAGACATGCCACAAACATATGGTATGTTATGATGTGGAGAAAGACTAAAGAATTCTACACGTTTTGTATGATTAACTGGAAAAATATTCGTTTTTACTTGAAATAATGACACAACAGCATTTTAAATCACCCAGCGATGCAATTAGAAATTCATCAGAACCTGATACACTTTGACATTTACAAATGGCCTCATTACCCTGTCCAAAAATATTCACTCAAACTGGCTGACTGCTGAGTGAATCAGTTTGTTCACAGATACAATTCTGCTCCAAAGTTATCTTGTACAACACAAAACTGGGTATTTAGTAAAACATACTAAGTGTATTATACTTAAGTGGACTTCTACTAAACGGCATTGTGAGCTCAGCCCAACATCACACTCCCGTTCTCACTTTCTTTCATGTGAATTCTCATCGTACCTTGCAACCAGTCGACTCCCTCCGGTAAACCTTCTCCTTTCAAAGCATTGGTGGCACTGAAACATATCAACAGTATACATTAAGAACTTTGTCTTATCCCGCTGTTTACTATGAATGGTTGTTCTGTAGCCCTTCCTTTTGATAACCACCAGCAACACTAAGTGTAAATACACATTTTGCTTGTGCCAACTGGGTCCCATATCTGTAGTATGTATGGCAGCACTTAACGTGTACTCTAAATTTGGAGAACGATATTCTTCTTTATTTTTGAACAGAAACAGGAAAAATTATCTGCATCCAAATCCAAAACAATGTAACCTGAATTGAATTACTAATTTACCTATGCCTACTTTCTAAAATCAGCACAATCACTAAATAATACAGGAATAAATCATATGTTCACATTAAATCTGCAGATTCTGTGTGTACTGACATGTCAGTGTATGATTTCACAGTAGAGTACAGTTTATCACTGGAATGCAGGAATAATAAATAAGCAAATAAGTACTCATTTCTGTTCATACCAGATGTGCCAGGGTTTGTCTTTGATGTTGTCCAAACAGAGCAGCTGTGAGACCTTGACTGAAGACAGAGCATCTCTAACATCCATCTTGTTAGCAAAGAACAGGATAGGGATCCTTCTGTGTTTAATATCTGGAGTGAGACAGAGAAGAAAATATTTCATTCACTTCAAATAATGAAAAGCAATATTTTAAAGCGAAAACAACCAGTTTTTAAATTACATGTATATTTGGCAAAACAAAATATATACTAACTCTCAAAAAGAGTAAAACACATGTACCATGCAATCTAGTCTTAAAATAGTCCAAGAAAGAGATACACCAGGTGGCTGGGCAAGGATTCAAACCTATGTATGCATGAGGCCAAGTACTGTGTTACATGTACATTAACTTACCAGGATGATTTAATAATGTATCCAGTTCCTCTTTGGCCACTACCATCCTCAGTTTGTCTGCACTATCAATGACAAATATGATAGCCTGACCTTCCCTAAGGTGAACAAGGAGATTAAAGGTATCAATATGTATATCAAGGTGCGAACAGCAACTGTATAAAACAAAGGTTGTCTTTGTGCCATCAGTACACTCACTTGTAGTAATGTTCCCAGAGGTTTCTGTATCTGCCTTGACCAGACATGTCAAACACTGTGAAAGAAAGACTAAGAGAAGAGAAGTACTTGTTCAAAATCTACGGAGTCATACATCAGACAAAAAAAGAATGTGAATCAGGGACACAGACAACTAGAAAAGGTAACATAAGAGTAATTAGTCTTTTATTTGATGCCTAACATGTTGGTGTCTTTTGTCAAATAGCTACCTGGACGTTTTGAACTTCTCTATGCTGAAACCAATGGTTGGGACAATGTCTTGCATCTGTGCCTGAAACACAAATGCAGTGTATAATCACTACAAACATAACAGGGGAGCAGACATCAGCAACATATCTTTAAAATATAATTTTCTAGTTCACCATACTTTTAGGACAGAAATAGATATGCAGCAAGATATATGATAGATGGCTGTATCACATGCAGCTGTTTGAGTGACCACTTCTCACATTATGACAGAAAGAGGTAGATTTACATTGGAGGGCTTGAGGTGGTTGATGATGGTGGTTTTCCCACTGTTGTCCAGGCCAAGACACAGAACATTCACCTCCTTCTTTAACCCCAGCCATCCTGCCAGCTTGTCGAACAGCCCCATTGGCTAGTAAGCAACCATCAGCTGTTTGTCTGTTATGTCTGAGCATAAAAACATGAACAGATAGAATGTCACATCACGTTTCATAGACTAAACAGGGTGTTAAACAGGCCCACCGGACACAGGCTCAGGGGTTAGAGTGGTCAGCTCCTGAGCCTGAGTGTTGTATGAAGTGACTGTTCAACACATTTCACCGAGAGTTATAAAGATAAAAATTTCAGCATTTAGCTAATTAAACTCCACCCTCTACTAAAAAGACATTTCACCTACTTTAACGTTAAGCTGTTAGTTAATATTCACCAATACCTGAACAGCTAGCTAACATTAGCGAATCTTTTGTTGTTGACGCTGCTAGCTACTAGCTAATCATTTAGTTAAGGTTGCTGAGTTTACATAGATAGTATCTAAAAATAGACAGTTCCTCTGCGGCACTCGACCAAGTGAGTTTATCAAGATAGTCACAAAGATTAGATAAGATCGAGGGAAGGTGTTTCAAACTACACATTCTAACGTTATGGCGTCATAAAAGTTAAAGCTAACGCTAAACGCTAGCTGCTGTTGGTGGTGGTGATATAGATAACGTTAGCTTGTATTATCATTTTCCAGACTGTTCTGTATGTAGAGCAGGATTTTAGTTACCTTAGCCTTAGGGTCTTCCTTCCAGGTTGCACCCCCTAAGCTAGTTCATTAAATAACCAGGCTCAAATCAGTGCTTCATTCATTTCTCTCATGCTCTCTCTAGCCTACAGGAAACACAGTTATTTACACTGTTGCTGGGAGACTAGTGACTGACTCAAGTCTGCCACCTGCAGGTCAAACACTACTGCCTCATTTCTTCTTCTTCCTATGATGTTTATTGGCGGTTTGCAAGCCAAGGTGCATTACCGCCATCTGCTGGGCTGGAGCGCGGAACGTCAATAGAGCCGAACGAATAAAAAAAAAAAACGCCTCAAATCTGACACTGTGGTCCTAATGTGTATGAGAGATAGATTTTGGGGTCTAGTGTGGTTAAAGTCTTAGAGAAAACAAAGTATTAAAATAGGGTTGTTTATTAAGGAACAAACATCCTGAATAAAACATACAACTTTCACAAGACTTTGTACAAGACATACTGCCTTATCATGAAGATAGATTAGACATTTCTATAAAATCTTTTGACATTCAGCGGTCTTAAGTTCAAAAAACATGATTGTGTTGACCATTCTGTTAATCTTGTTTATGGTGAACTGATTCAGAAGCCAGCTGGAAATGGTGTTATTAAAATCACATACTGCACCATACATCACCATACCATATATTCTATCCAAATCTCTGGCCATGAGGTAACAGACTTGAGACCATTCAAAGTCAATAGAAACCATTGGATTGTCACTTGGAAAGAGAAGAGGTATTGGTGAACACTTGAAAAGACACTGAAGAAAAGAAGTCCTAAATTCAAGTGAATGCTAGTATTTGCTGAGATAATAGAGACCACATTTGGCCAACATTGACAGAGGTTGGTTATTGCAAAGACTGTACTGATAACAATCCAAAAGATGATAATGTGTACGTATTAATCAGATGACATGTGGTCTAGCTGTGGTCTAATCTCACACAAGCAGCGTGTGGTACCCGCTACACCTAACAGTCCGGTGTTTGTGCAGTTTGTTGAATGATGATTCCAAGGAACTCTGGTTTGTTTCCAGCTCTGTGTATACACACAGTCTATCTTTGTGCAATGGTCTCACACTTGAAAACCACTCTGCTGGATGTGGTGAAGCTGCAGGCGAAGAGACTGTATGCTGCTTATGATTCTCCTCTGGTGACCAATCAAACAGACCCCGATACGTCTGATGTCGCTAAAGGGATGAAGAACATTTATACAGTTTCAAATTAATAGTTTGAAAAGAGCTGCAGACCTACTTGTACATCATGACAAACATACTATCAAGTTGCCCACATCACTTTAACCTGCAAAAAACATGCCAGGAAAACACATTAACCACACTTAACATAAAAGAACAAAATACAGTAATACCAGTGGCAATAGTTCTACAGTTCATGTAGAAAAACATTTTGTAACTTGTACTGACATGTCTGCATCTTCATGATAAAACTGTGATTAAGCCAGAACACATACAGCATCAGCATAACAAACAAACAAACAAACAAATAAATAAATAAATAAAAGTCAACTACATGGTACAAAAAGTACAGATTTATTCTTAATAGTGGAATCTGTTTTATTACAATATCACCATCCTTATGTTCCTTTGATGCTACTTTGTTTCTTTTTGGCATGATTTATAACACTGTAGCCACACCCTGTATACAATTTGGCTTCACTCACTCTATACTCATGGTTGAAATGGAATCCAGTGTTGTGTATCCTGCTGCAAGGAAGTTGTTCTTATACTGACTCATTTTGATGGAGTCAAGCCAGTCGCCGATAGAGATGAAAAGAGGGTAGTCTGGCGCATCTTCTGGGGAGTCAGGGAAACTGGGATGACAAAGTTTTGGGACATATAGCGAGAGGTTAGCATAAGCGATTTTAACAAGATTTTTGTAAATAGGATGTTTTGCATGTTTAAGCCCATGATCTGCAGAAAAAGTACCAGATTTATGAATTCTTTACATCATTTTTTTTAGACTTCCTCTGGGTTTGCTGTTTCCTAAATATACCACAAACACATCCTGCAAAACTATTAGATGATACTCAAACCTTGAATGTTGGAGCTTTTTATAAGCATCGTAAGGCTTCAACACATGATGACAAAACAGACCCAACTTAAAACTGTATTACGATGCAGTGATAACTGATTAAAAAAAATAAATATTCACCCTTATGGTCATGCACCTCAGACAAGTTTTTAAATCTGTGCAATGTGGTTTTCATACCCTAATGAGACTGAAAGGAATGGCAGCCTGGAGCATCAGCCAACAACAATAGGTTGCATTGTGAAGTTAACACAGCTTGGAGAAAGTGGGCTAAAACAAGAGGAAAAAACACCAGTACAGCCCTTTACATACCTCTCAACATTGTTCACCAAAGTCAGCAGACCACTGGGACTGATTATGAGTTTGTCAAGGAAAGAGAACACATCACTGAAGCGTGGACGCTGGCTAGGCTCCTTCTGCCAGCAGTGTAGCATCAGCTGGTGCAGCATCACAGGGCAGCCTATTGGTGCTGGTAGACGATAGCCCTCTTCCATTGATAAAATGACCTGAGGTGAACAACAACATAATGCTCTGTCTAAAACAGAACATTTGCCGCACCAAAAATAAGGCAGATTATGTATACAGTGTTTCAGTGGTTATGGAGTTTAAACATGATCGGTAGCTTACGTCTTGATTGGACATCTCCCAGTAGGGCCTCTCACCATATGACATCACTTCCCACATGACAGTGCCATAGCTCCATACATCACTAGCTGAGGAAAACTTTCCATAAGCAATAGCCTCTGGTGCTGTCCAGCGTATTGGTATCTTTCCTCCCTGGTGCCAAAAACAGCAACACAGAATATAAAGAGATATTCAGAATTCACCGCCATAAGTGTCATATCATAATACCCTGTGATAACTCTTAGATGCACACTCACTGTAGTAGTGTAGGCTTCTTCAGTGCCATCTTCAAGGACTCTGGACATGCCAAAATCAGACACTTTACACACCAAGTTTTCATTAACCAAGATGTTGCGAGCTGCTAGGTCTCTGTGAATATAACCCATATCTGACAGGTAGGTCATGCCTACTGCAATGCCACGGAGCATGCCAACCAGCTGGAGCACTGTGAACTGACCATCACGTGTCTGGAGTTGTTGTGAGAAAGAGAGGAGACAAATGAGGTATAAAGAAGACAGCATCTCCTCAGGAAAAACATCTTTGAACATGTATTTTTCTCACCCGGAGGAAAGAGTCAAGTGCTCCATTTTCCATGTATTCAACTACTATCATTATTGGTCTGCCTGAGGAAAAGTAGAACATGATTTGAGTGATGAACAAGGAAAAGAAACAGAAGTAAAGAATTTCATGAAGCAATACACTGGTGTTAAGGGGAAGATCTTCTATGTAAACACACAAACGGACATATAAAAGGCTTACTCTTAGTGACTACTCCCTCTAGCCTGATGATGTTGGGGTTATTGAACTGTCCCATGATTGAGGCCTCACGTAAAAAGTCTCGCCTCTGTTGTTCCATATAGCCACCTTTAAGTGTCTTTATTGCCACAGCAATGTCCATCCTTCCTGGTAGACGCAAGCGACCGCTACAAACCTCTCCAAATTCACCTGCAAAAACACAGTACACATATACATGCAGTGGTTCTTGTATATCATAAAATGTACATAATACACTGTAACAAATAATACAAATTTGCATGGTTTAAGTCTCATGGAAAAAAGTTATTGCAAATGATCCCTTATTACTGCTTATAAGTGTATTATGTTGTTCCTTGCGCTTAGTAAAATAGATGCATCTTTTAAAACCTCCAAGGAAAAATAGGTGAAATAAACACTGCAGGACAACTCTCCTGTCTTCATGTTGAACCGAAAGAGAGATGAGGATGATATTACAATGTGCTGTACCTACCCTTCCACTTTAAAAATACTGCAGGTAATTAGCAAGCTATCTCCACCAGATGGAGCCCATATCACAAAAAGCAAACAGATGGGAGGCACCTTCATTATTACACATAGCAGAGACAAGCTGTTCAATTTAATGACCCATCAAACGTTATTATTCATAGTCAGCAGCACTGGCTTTGCGCCTCTGAGGTACAGTACAATAAACAACATTAAAAGTGGCTGTAAATTTTTTAAACTAGGACTTTATGGTGTTAAACATTTCTTATAAAATAGAAATGTTACTTAATATACAGTAGATCACAAGGTTTGGGTTACTATTCCATGTGTGACTCAACTGTCACCGGGGCATTTTTACAAAGGACTGTGTGATATCCGTTTAGGTATTAATACTCAAATTAAGATAATGGCATGCAGAAAAAGTCTTACATCACAACATATTGATTAGTATTGATTTTACCTGAACCAATCACTCTCTCAATGCATATGTATGAGGGGTCAATCTCTTTGGCAAATTCCTCCACAGCCTGAGTGGGGTCTTCATATGTATCTGGATCCACATAGGTTTTTATTCCAGAGAATGGGACTGGAAGACAAAAGAGAAACACAACATAAAGCTTAATATGTTTATACAGTACAAATAGACTAACAGACACATAGACACACATCTGTTGGCTTTTCAAGAGTTAGATGCATAATTTACAGAATGAAACAAAAAGAATTTAGAGCCAGTTCTGTCTGGGAAAGAAGAATCTGCTTTGTACATACAAGGCATGGTACATTGTGAAAAGGTTTTGTGAACTGTTGTGTGAGTGAGTTAGCACTGTTGAACCAAATATTACTAGATTTTAAAATGCTTTTGCTACATATAGTATGACCACTGACTTACTGTATGTACAAAAATCTAACATTTTGCTTCACAACTTTGTTTGTTTTATATTTTGTCAATCATAGTCTTTATTTTCATTTAATCAAAACCAAATGTTTGCCTGCATAAAGAGGCAGCTTGACAATTCTATTGTCCTGTAATAAATTATGTTTATTGAAACATATAACTTTCAGTTTTTGTTGAGACTGTACAACAGAAGATGATTCTTGATTGAACTATGTGAGATCATAACCATTAATGCATTTGCCTGTATTATACTGTAAGTTTTCTCTGTTATTTTGTCAAGAGATGCAGAAAGGGGGCCAAAAAAGAGAAAGAAAGAGTTTTAAAAACATGCTATAAAACAGTGTATACAGA